GATTGCCCCATCTTCCTTCCAAGGAGTGGCTGGTGGGTTTGAACTCTCTGGTTAGCAGTTAAGTGCCTTAGGCACTGCAGCAGGGGTTGAGCAACCTTTAAATATTGGCACTTCTAGAAATGGGCATATCCCAGACAGCTAAGTATTTTGTTTCCTTTAGAGATCAATTCCTGCTATATGAGAATACATAATTAGTGTGGTGGTTAAGTTTGTGTGTCAACTTGGCTGGGCCTGGTTGAGTAGATGGACAGCTGGATGTAGTTATTCCCCATGGTGAGACTGGTAATTAATTCTATGGTGGAATCTATTGGAGCAGCTGAGTAGCTGCTTTTGGGTATGCTTCCCATACAGAAGAAACAGCCTTGGGAATGGTCTCTAGCTTATGGCACGCTTAAACCCTGCAGGTAGCTGAGTCTTTGTTCAGCACCCTGCCATGCTCTGCCAATCTTGGGACTTCTAATGAACTTGAATTAATGGCCTGCCGTGTGGTTTGGTAATATCAGGACTGTGCCTTATTAATTGTCAACCTCGGGCTTGGCAGCCTCAGCAGCCAGTGGCTTAGAGAAGAAAAGCCTCCAGCTTCAGTGGGCCAGGAGCAGGAGGCAGAGCTGAAGCCCAAGGTTGAGGGGCTTTCACCCAGCCTCTAGAGCCTGGCAGTTTGAACTCGGACGTAAAGCCTCCAAACTGTAAGAGAATAAACTCCTGTTTCTTCAAGCCCTCCCATTTGTGGTATATCCTTGTCAGAGTGGTATTAGGTAGCCAGAATAGTTGGTTTTGAAGGAGATGCTTGGTGAATTTAGTCTCTGGTGCATCATGTTTAAATGTGGCATCATTTGTCCTGGAAGGCTATGTTTCATGACTAGTTTCATGAAACTGTCTTCCAGGCCATACTGATTATTCTTGAGATGACTCGATTTTTCTTATAATCTTACAGAAAGGAAAAGCAAATGTACCTGTTCTCTAGGCTTAAGTACACGCTCTATGGTCTTTACTGATTCTGGATGGATTTGGTCCAAGTTTCCAGTGCTCTGCTAAGAATGCAGGGTCAACCTGTGCTGGGCATCCACATCATGCTTATGAAGTAAAGCTACCGAGTCTCCCGGTGCAATCAGAGGAAAAAGCCCACATTCGATGCCTTTGCAGACTGGATGGGGAGGATGAAAGGAGAGGAAGCCTGATACTGAGAAACGCATCCTCTCCCTACAGACCTGCCAGAACCAAAGAGGCCCAGTAACACAAGGACCTGTCTTTTAATATGTTTGAAAATTAAAGTCAACATGGAAATGGGGTGGGTAGATGGCTCAAATTGAATGGTCATTGTGCACCCGGCTGTTATCTCACTGTTTGTTATACAATAAAAGAGGATCAGATAAACACAGGCATAAACTCTGCCTCCGTTGATAATGTAAATCATCCCTTGTATCATTTGTCTTTCCTTCAGGCTGGATACAAAAGGCATAGAAATGAACAATTCATGCCTAAACACAGGAGAGCTTGAAAGCTAGTGTATGTCAGATGTTTATTCTAGGTCATCATGAAGGGGTTGAGTGGATTTACTTATAAACACAGGCTACTCTTGTCAGTGGGGAGTGGGAGAAACCATGTCTTTCTTACAGAGACAGCTCTTTTAAAGACGCATTGCAACTTTTCTGCCATGCACCGTAAGTTATAGAGATAATTCTTTTTACAGTATATGAAATGTTGTCTCCTGAGCAGAGCAAAGCATAATGTGCTGTGGAAACAATGCTTTTTCTCTCTACTATGAGCAAATGCCATTTTTCATTATCCACTGACAGGGAGCCTGGTGGAGACTGAAATGAGAGCAGGGTTGCTCTGCCCACAGTCGGCCAGGCAGCTCCCGACACACTCAGGAAAGACCTCTATGGGAGCCCTGAGAGGTCTCCTCCAGACTCCCACAGTGAAGTTTGAAGCGCCAAACCCTTGAAGGATGTTGCATCCTTGCAGGTTACCCATTTCCGCTGCCCTCATTCTCTGCTGAGGGTTTTGTGGGTTGTTGTTGTTGGTTTTCCCACACAGCCCAACCAAAGACAGCTAAAGAAAAAGTGCCAAGACAAACAGAACGAGAGCCTTGGGGACCCAGTAATGGGTACAGAGTGTGAGTGTGGTAATCATTCTTTTGATTTGTGCTCAGATATGTTTTCTATTTGCTTTTGCACAGAATACACGTTTTCCCCCTGGATTGCAAATAATCTGAACGAGGGTAAAACCATTACAAAGTGGCCTTCAAACATCATGTATGTGTTGGAACTGAATGACTGATCAGACATTTAAATATGGAAACTGGGGATTTGAGTAAATTGCATTGATATGGTTTTCAAAACATGTTCAGAGTTGTTTAAATGTCTTTGCTTTCTGGGCATGTCCCATTTTCTTCTCTCTCTCTCTCTCTCTCTCTCTCTCTCCATTTTCTATCTAAATATCTTTTTTTGGAAAAAAAAAAAAAAGAGAGAGAGAGAGAGAGAGAGAATTCTGCATATTTCCCTTTTAATTTTGTTCCCTTTTCAATGATTTAGTTTTACCCTCACAGCCAAAACTAAAGAAATGATTTTTGCATCACCCCTGAAAATAGACCAAGGAAAAAGGAAGCTGAGGTGGGATTCTCAGCACACCCAGACCCTAATGGTCTCTTCCCACTGCTCAAGGCCAGGGGGTTGTAGCTCCAGAGGTAATCTTCTGTCCTCACACTGTCCTCAGTGTCTCCTGACCCCCATCTTGGAAGTAGATGACAAGCAAGGAATCAAGGACAGTGGAATGGCTGCTTCAGCTGCGTGTCCGCCACCACCACCCCAGGAGAGAGGGGAAGGCAGGAGGGTAGAGCCCCTGCACAGTTAGGAAATAAAGATTAATGTACTCCCACCATGCTGTGCTGGGCAAGGCTCTGTCTGGTGGGGCCCCTGACAGCCATCAGGTGAAGGAATCCTAGCACAGAGCTCTGAGTCCCAGGTTAATATCAAGTACTGGTTTTTATTTTAGTTACTCAAGGATCAAAGTGAAATTATTCAATAAAAAGGAACTTAAAGGGGACTTTGGTGCCGACATAAACCTTCATCAAAAACACTTGTTCAAATGCAGCTTCCTTGACCTGCCTTTTCATATTGTCTTTCCAGTTCTTACCCACATTTGTGATTAAAATAAGGATTTTCTCCATCATAATTCAGCTTTCCCTTTCCTCTCAGCTGACCAGAATTTCTCAGGGTGACATGACAATTGTTGCTAAGGAACTGAAGGCTATGTCTGATGTCAGCTTTCTGATGAAGAACAAATACTTTTCAACTGATTGAATATGAAGTATAAATAAGTTGTGAGTATGTGTTTGGTATGTGTTTAATGTGGTGCTTGTGGTATATAGGTGTGTATATATGGTGTATATGGTGTGTAGGCATATGTAGTATATGATATGTGTGTGGTGTATGTGTTGTGTGCATGTATGGTATATGTGCTGTGGTGTGTATGTATGTGTGGTATGGTGTGGTGTGTTGTGGGTATAGAAGTGTGCTCTGGTATGCTAAGTTTGTGTGTGTGGTATATGTGATGTGGGAGTCCATGTTTGTATGTGGTATGTATGGCATATGTGGTGTGTGTAGGGTGAGGGGAGTGTGTATATATGGTGTATGTGGTGGGTTTGTATGTGTGATGTGGTGTTGTGTGGGTATAGGGGTGTATGCTGCAGTGTGTGTGGTGTAGTAAGTATGTATGAGTGTTGCATGTGGTGTGAGTGTGGTGTAGTGTATATGTGTGATGTGTCAGTACGTATATGTAGTGGTATGTGTCTGTGGTGTATGTTCTGTGTGTGTATGTGTGGTATGTGTGGTATGTGATGTGTGTGTATGGGGTGTATTTGTGCATGTGGTGTATATGGTGTTTGTGGTGTGGTGTTTGTGTATGTGGTGTGTGTGTGTATGTGTGTAGTGTATTTGTGGTATATATGGTGTCTGTGGTGTGGTGTTTGTGTATGTGGTGTGTGTGTGTATGTGTGTAGTGTATTTGTGGTATATATGGTGTCTGTGGTGTGGTGTTTGTGTATGTGGTATATGTGTATGTTTGTGGTAGGTGTAGGGGTGTGTGCTACAACATGTGTGTGTGTGGTGTGCTGTGCTTATGTATACTATATCTTGTGTGTGTGTGTATGGCATGTTGTATGTGGATGTGTGGTGTATATGGTGTTTGTGGTATGGTGTGTGCATATGTGTGGCATGGTGTGGCTGTAGAGGTATGTGTTGCAGTGTGTATATGTATGTGTGGTATATATGGTGTTTGTGTATTTGTGGTGTGTTGTGTGTGTATGTGTAAAACCAAAAAAAAAAAAAAAACTCACTGCCATCAAGTCAGTTCCACCTCATAGCAACCCCTTTGGGTTTCTGAGGCAGTAAATCTTTACGGAAGTAGATTGCCAAGTCGTCCTTCCATGGAGTGGCTGGTAGGTTTGAACTGCCAACCTCTGGTTAGCAGTCAAATGCCTTAGGCACTACGCCACCAGAGCTCCTTCATCAAAAGGATGTATGTGTATGTGTAGTATAGTGCATTCGGTGTGTGTGTAGTGTAGTGTGTATATGTTTGTGGTGTATGTGGTGTGCGTTTGTGGTGTGGTGCATGTGATATGTGTGTGGTGTTATAACTGACAACAGGAGAAAACAAGCATGAGTGTATTCCTATTTTAAACGAGGATTATTACCCACCTCCTCTATAAAAGCTACTCTTTAATAACCTTCAATTGCCTCTTACTTATGAGAATACCACTCATGCATTTGAACTTTTCACTTTAGCTTGTTTCACTCCCCTCTGTTCAGATCCCTATTCCTTCACACTGTTGTGTCAGAGATAGATCACATTATGACCTTAGTCACATTTTCCTTTAAAAGGAGTCAAGCACAAACTTCACAAAGTCTCAAATATTCTAGGTGTGGTGCAGTGAGACTGGGATATGAAATTCCTCCCACTTGGAGCACACCCACATCAATGTTTCTCTAAATCTATTTATCTTAGTCACGACCTATGAACATGAGTAGAACGTGGCTGTATCCCGTGCGCTGGGGAAAGTTAGAATCTGTGAAGTTGTAATTTCTAGGGAGAAGTGCAAAAACTTCACAGTTTTGAAACAGAATTCTTTAAGAAGCAGAATATTTTAAATGTGCCCTGTTTTTTTTTTCCTTTCTTTCTCTCTTTTGCACCATTAAAAAACATCTCTGCATCTCAGTTTGGTCCTCCTGCTCTAGTGTTGCTGATTTTGTGATTGTTAGATTAACAAAAATGGAAAATCTAACAGCAGATAATTCCCAAATGAATGGTACCCACGCAATAATAGATAAGTACACGCTAAGAATAACAGAAATGGATATATGCAGAACAGGACACAGTAATCCTTTGGAAGTTGAAGATAAGCACTTAATTACTTATATAAGAAAACTACAGGAAGATGTGACCTGAATTTGACTGAAGGGAAATAAACTTCAGTGGTCAAATCCTTGGATGCCAGGACAACATTTTGCTTGAATTCTGGCTGTCTCTACTGCAGGGTGGTGGGGGAAGAAATTCAGACTACTGCATGTTTACCCTGCTTAATTAAGGAATTGAGGAGGTTGGATGCTAATGTGTTTTCTGAACACCACAAAGAAGAACATTGCATGTGAAAAGGAAAGCAAAGGGTACATGGAAATGAAGGGGAAAAAAAGTCCTGGGAACATGGGAAAGTTCATTTTGGTAGATTGGGAGAAGGCCAAACAAAATAGATTTCAGAAAGAGGTGGTGTGGTTAAAAGACACTCACTCACCCCATCTAGAACATAGCTATAAATGTAGAGTTTGACCCTGACCTCTCATAAATGATACAGGCTGATGTTGACAAGCAAACAAACTTACAATATGCCAGTTGAGTCTGCCCATTATTTACGATACATGGGAATTTCTTTTTGTGCTCCTTGGAGTTTCTTCACAAGCACTTGAAAAGTTTAATGTTTACATATAATCTGAGAAAGAAAAATAGGAAGTGCCTCTGAATTCTAAATACCTAATGGAAAATGTGTAACTGAAGACAAAAGCAATATGAAATATCAATATGGGGTCACTGGGAGTTCAGTGGTAGAATTCTCCCCTTCCATGCAGGAGACCCAGTTTTATTCCTGGCCAATGCATCTCTTGGACAGCTACCACTATCTGTCACTGGAGGTTTGTGTATTACAATGGCGCTGAACAGGTTATAGTGGAGCTTTCAGACTAAGAAGGACTAGGAAGAAAGGCCTGATGATTTACACCCCAAAATCAGCCGGTGAAAACCCTACAGATCACAGTGGTTCAATCTGCAAGCAATCATGCGGATGGCACAGGACTGGGCAATGCTTTGTTCTGTTGTGTATGGGATTGCCATGAGCTGGGAGCCAACTCAAAGACAATTAAAAACAACAAATACCAATAGAAATTTGGTTTCAAGTGATGAGAGTTATTTAGCCTCAAGACAAGAGCACTGAGGAAACTCGACAGATGTTGAGCCCTTCAGCCCAAGGCTCTGTGGAGGTACAGAGTAACCAAAAACAGAAGCAATGAATAGCCTCTGCCCTTGGGGATTTAGGACATGACAATAAAAAAAAAAAAAAATCTATACATCAAAGTGGCACATAGGATTGCACAAGGAAAGGATCCTAAGAGTGGCTTCCATTGAATGTGCTACAGAAAGGAAAAAATTTACCTTCTAACTGAAGGATATAGAAGTGGAGAGAAAAAAGTGTTCTGGGATTAACAAGTGGTATAAGAAAAGGGAAGCTGATTGGTAATATTCTGGTTATCTACTGATACATAAAAAGGAGCCCCGGAGGCACAACAGTTAAGCACTTGGCTGCTAACTGAATGGTTGTCAGTTTGAACCCACCCAGTGGTTTTGTGGGAGAAAGACAAGATAAGATGCCCCTATAAAGATAAAAAATAATAAAAAAAGTATTGCATCAAGTCAAGTATGACTCATAGTGACCCTATAGGACAGAGTAGAACTGCCCCATCAGGTTTCCTTCAGAAGCAGACTGCTTTATCTCTCTCCCACAGAGCAACTAGTGGGTTCAAACCACTGACTTTTTGATTAGCAGCCAAGTACTTAACCACTGCACCACCAGGACTCCTATCCTGTAAAGCTTACAGCCTAGAAAACCCTAAGAGGAATTTTATTTTGTCACATGGTGTCATTATGAGTCAAAACTGGCTCATTGGTTCCTACCAACAACAATAGCAACTGGTGCATACCAAATGGCTACAAAACTTAGTGGTTTACATTTTATTTTGCTCACCATTTTGTTGGTCAGTAATTCAGGACGGGCTCAGCAGCATAGATTATCTCTAATCCCCATGGCATCAGTTGGGGTTTCAATATAGCTTCTTCATTCACAAACGTGGTGCCTTGGAGTCCTTAGTCTCTCTCTCCTCTTTCTCTCTCTTTCTCTCTCTCTCTCTCCCCCCATCTCACATAACTTGGGCTTCTCACAGTATGACAGCTGTAAGGTGGTAGGACTTCTTATAAGGCAGCTTAAGTTTCCTAGAGAGTGTTCTAGAGGCACAGGTAGAAGTTGTGAAGCTTCTTACGACCTAGCCTTGAAGGTCCTAGATGCCACTCCTACCACATTCTATTGGTCAAACAGGTAAAAAAAGAACAGCCCTTATTCAATGACTGCCCCAGGTCTAACTTTCCATGGCCTTTGATTTCAAGAACCCAATATTATCTGATTCCATGTTTCTTAACTTGAACTCTGTAGAGAAAGCACATATTCAAGACAATGGGAATTAGATTCCATCTCTCAATTCAAAGAATAACAAAGGATGGGTAGCCAACTTTAACCTACCACAGGGAACAATGAATGAAGTAGAATGGTTTCAGTAGATGGTCAGTGTTGGAGAGCAGGGTCAATCTTCAGAACAAGAGACAGAGAATTGGTGTAGAGGGCTTTGAAGGTGAGGTTAAGAGATTTGAACATTTAAAGGATAACAACTTTTTCTCCTGGCATATCCTCTCTTGTGGAACTGCACTCTGTCAGACAGAAAAAAAGAGCACCATGATTCTCTAAAGTTCACAGACATCAGGCTACATAAGTGAAGGTGCTGGAATTAATTCCCTCATCTGTGTCTTTCTAGCAGGAGAGTTTCTATTCAGGGCATATTTGGTTATGAAGAACAGAAAATTCATTAAACCAGGTTAAGTAAAATTAGACTTACTTGGAAGCACAAAAGGCAAATTTCAGATCATCCCAGGAGAAGAGGTAAGAAATCTGTGCCACACGAAGTCTGATGAATCTCCCACCATAAACTCCAGAGCCAGAGTTAGCTTCTCTGCCCCTGACAGGGGAATGTGATCTTTTATCTCTCTGCTGGCTTTGATCTGCTTATCTTCACAGATGAATTTTCTCTGCTAACTCATCAGAGTATACATGGCCAACAATGACTGCCCCAAGTCTAACTTTCCATGGGTTTTGATTTCAAGAACCCAATATTATCTGATTCCATGTTTCTTAACTTGAATTCTGGAGAGAAGGAGTCTGGTTGGATTAAACCAGTCTATGAGTGGTTCTCCTTGAGTCATATGTCCACTCTTAGTGCAATCAACTATGGCTGCAGAGCAGGCTTATATGTTTAAAGAAAAGTAACAAAAACATAGTCAACTAGACCCATTTCATCAATGAGAGATTATGAGTGGAAAGCAATTCAAGAGAAAGAGTATAGGATGGCTAAGTGACAAGAAGGACCATGTGGGAAATGTGCCAGTCTAGGGTTGGAGACTGCGATAAGAACAGAACACTTTGGTCCCCAAGACATTCTTCATTCATCTTCCAAACTGTTTCCCTGATGGAGTCAGCTATTTTCATATTGAACTTGTCCTGGCAGCTTTGACATATGAAGCAGTAAAGTAATGGACAGTAATGGATGATATCAAAGAAGGTTCTTTCTTATCTGGCTCTCACAGAGGATTTTAATGCTTATTATAATGTTTTGGGGTATTGGCTCTCTCTTCCTGTATTATTCTCCAGTCTGTTACTATACATATCTATACCCAGATCATAAGGGAAAGATTGATGGTATAGTGTAAGCTCTTTAATTTTGTCAATGAAAATTATAAATATTTAAAAAATGAGCAAGAAAACATCCCCAGTTGGAGAAAAGTATCAGTGGTACTTCATACTGTCAGAAAAATGCAAATCAGGATTTTTCCTTTTCCTAATTAGCAAAGATAAATCAGGATAAATTTCAAATTGATGAGAGCTATCTCAACACCAGAGAAAGATATTGACCTTTTTGTAGTACAGGTAAGTATGAAGTACATTAAAACCCCAATTTTCTCAGCAATCAAGTTTACCTCTGCAATAACTTTGGACTATGACACTCCTTCAGAAATGCTGTCTGCTCAAAATTCTCCAAACAGCAGCACTGAATGGAATTCTGCTGGGGTAGGAGAATGGTGGCTGGGCAGTCACAATCAATTTGTTCCTGTGATTGACATCAGGGCCTGTGTGTCAGACAAGCTCTCTCATACCATCTGTGCTCTGATTATGATCAATAGGTATTTGTGATATGCCCAGGAAACGTGCTGTTTGATTGCTTTTATATAGGAGAGGAGACAAAAATGTCTCAATGTGGAGTCTCCTAATGTGGATGTAGAAGCTGGTTGATGAATTATTAGGATATAGAGTTTGCACTGATAAACTTTTGAACTTTCATTGAACTTGTAGATTAAGAATAGGCAGTTTTTCCAAGAGGAAAATTCACCAGACAACCAACAATTTTTCTTTCACATATTTAAGTAAGATGTTCGATCTGGTAAGGAAATAATAGTAATTTATGTCTTTGATAATTGAGAAGGATTATAGTTCTATACACAGAAAAAGCAACCATCACCCGGGCCCTGTGAGTCACAAAGCCATTAAAGAAGCTTCCAGCTTAAAAGCAGATGAAACTCCGGATTTGGAGGGCGGTGTTCTCCAACAGAGAGTTGAAAGACAGAAAGAAATCCCCATGTACTTGGAAAATTAGGGCCCCCTTTCTGCCTTCCTTCCAAACAATGATACTTTCCGGATTCATCTTGATCTCCCACACAAAAAGAAAGAAAAAAAACACATAGAGTGCTATTTCTCTTGGTGGAGATGCACTTCCTTATATGAACCACCATGCACGCACATACACAGAGCCATACTGACCATCAGTGGGAGGCAACCTTCCAAATAGAAGCAGTGAAGCTGCCTTCTGCAATCTTCAGAGATCCATCATCTTCTGAATATCACATGTCTTGTGTAATCTCTAGGAACAGCCTGGACCAGATTAAAGGTTAAGAGGCAAGATTGTAGACCAACTAGAAACATGTGTTTGGTACACTTAACTGACCTCAAGAAATTATTTGACTAATAAAATAGCATCAACGGAAATCAGGTTCTTGAGAGATTGTTCTTGTTGTTGTTAGGTGCCATCGAGTTGGCTCTGACTCATAGTGACCCCATGTACAACAGAATAAAACACGGCCTGGTCCTGCACCAGCCTCACAATC